TAAAAATTTGTAGGAAGCACCAATAAAAGGCATTCTCTAAGGAAAGATTTTGCCCCGTGGATTCACTAGATTGACTAACAAGAAGAGAAGCATTTTTTTTGGGGGGGGGGGCGTGGGAGTGGGGAAAGATAGTGTTGTAATATGATATCTTGGGCCAGAAAAATGTCTTTTAATTAGGCCTTTGTTTAAAAGAGGAGTATACTTATTCACTCATTTATTGCACAAATAATTATTGAATACCTGCTATATAGCTGGCACTGAAGTAGGCTGTGAACAGGACATAACACTGAGTTCTGAGGGATTTAGCTGGCAGAAGAAACAAATAAATACACAAAGAAAATTACATATTATAGCCACCATAAAGAGGGGGGGCACGTGTGGGAGGGTGGGAACCTATTTTGGTTATGGGAAGCAGGCAAAGACCTCTTGTAGGAGGTGATATTCACCCTGAGGTCTCAGGAATAAGAGGGAACAGGCCAGAGAAAGAATCAGGGAAGAAGCATTTCAGGAAGACGGATGGTTCTTGAGTTGGGAAACTGAAATGGAGACATGTTAGATACTCAGAGAGATGATAGGGTCTTGGACTACAGTTATAGCAGTAGAGGTGGAGAGAACTGACTAGATGTGAAATATAGCATTAAGATAGAATTGGAGAGACTTGCTAATGGATTAAATGTGGGAGGTGAGGAATCAAGAGAAATCAAGGAAAATGTTTAGGTTTTTGAGTTAAGCAGTTGGGTGGATAGTGTCATTTACTGAAATGGGGGACTGTTAAGGAGGAATAGTTTTTTTTTGGAGGGAAGAATCGAGAATTCTATCTCGAATATACTGCATTTAAGATACTTTTGAGACATCCCAGGGGAGATATCAAGTAGGCAGTGGGACATACAATCTGCAGCTCAGGACAGAGATCAAGATTCACCCAGAGACGGGGAAGGCATTGGTGTGCATAGATCTCAGTTCATGCATTGGACTGAGACCATCTTGAGCAGTGTTCTCAATTCTGGCTACATGGGATTGGTTCACATGGTGAACTTTTAGACTATAACCTTTGAGAGTGGGCATTTAGCGTAGTGCTTGAGATGCCTATGTCCCATATCCAAGTCCCTGGGTTCAATTCCCAACTCTGTCTCCAGCTCCTGACTCCAGCTTCCTGCTAATACAGGCTAAAGGATGCAGCGGTGATGGCTCAAGAAATTGGGCTCCTGCTACCCACATGGGAGACCTGGATTGTGTTCTTGGTTCCCAGCTTTAGCCCAGCCCAGCCCCAGTTGTTGTGAGCATTTAAGGAGTGAACCAATGGATGGACTCTTTTTCCATCTCTTTCTGTTTCCTTCTTTCTATCTGTCTGTCTCTCACTCTCAAAAGTAAAATAAATAAAATAAAACTTTTTTCCCAGGATTCTCTTCCATAAATTCGGACTTAGATCCATTGTGGGGCCTATACATTCATGTTTTTCGAAGCTTTATAGGGAATCTTATCTGTGCATGGTGGAAGGTCCACTGCTGTAGGGAGAAAGGACAGCTAGAGAAGTGGATCTAGGACTGAGCTTGCACATATAAAGTCTCTGGTAAAACCCGAGTTTTCCACTCTTTGTGTCTTTCTGCTACTTGGAAGATCTACTCTTTGGACCTTTGAGGATTGTCCTCTGTGCACCCTGACAGGGCATCCTGTCCTGAATTTAAGTCAATGTGTCTTTTGTCTTCTTGATTTCTGAAGATGTCTTTGGTACTGAGGATTTAAGAAATCTTCTTTCAGCCTGTCATTTGAGTGTTACCCTGATGTGGTTTAGCGGTAGTGGGTATTTGTCATGGTTGAAAGATGAAGAACCTGTTTGGGTTTTGCTTTTTGTTGTACTGTAAGAATTTTCTTGTGGTTGCAGTGGTTGCTGTGAAGGGGCAGTTATCTTCAGGAAGAGTGTGTGTGTTTGTATATATGCATCCACAGAGAGATGTTCCCTGATGTCTGTAGAGTCTTGGTAGCTCTCTTTGAAGGTAATTTCCAAAAGATCATTGAAGCTTTAAAATTTTACCTGTTCTTAAATTAGTCACACTTTCCAGTGCTATTCCAAGTTCTTTATTCATGCCTACATCCTCCTTTTTTTTTCTTTCAGAATTTTTATTCAAAACAACCACAGTAACATTAATAATAGAAAAATTCACATGGAAATATGCACAACCTAGTCACCTTGCATTACTTCCAACCACCTGTCTGAAGAGCCAGAGGCAGAGGTGCAGGTGGAGGAAAGCCACCCTTTCCCACAGAGCCCCATCTTGCAGTCAAGGCAGATTTCCTCCAAAGAATGAACAACCACAGGGAATGATGAGAACTAAAATACTGTGATCGGCAAGGGTTTTGCTGGGGGTCTGAGATGTGTAAGCACCAAAGAGGGAAAGGGAGATGAAGCGACCATTGAAAAGGGAAGGGAGGGTGTCATCAGGGTCCAATCTCTTTGAATAGAAGCTCTGGGAAACTAGGCTGACTGTGGATGTGCCCTACATCCTGCTACTGCTCCCTAAAGCACTGGGTTAAGAGAAAATAAAAATGCCCTCAGCTATCCACATACTGAGCTCACATCTATTCAGCCTCCATGAAAATCTAATGAAAAGGCTAAATGTACAAATCAGAGGAAAACTTATTAAATTTTCTTGTGAACCATGGCCCACATAAAGTCCTAGTATAAAGGAACCATGCAAGTTCCCGTAGCCCTCCCCTTAGCCCTCAGGGAATCTGCCATTCCAAAAAATGTTTACAGCTGTATCAATACAACACCAACACTGTATGTGAGAGAGAGAGAGACAGAGAGACAGAGAGACTCCATGGGTCCTAGCTGTTATAAATACTATATAATTTCCCAATTGTTATACCTGGAAGAATGTATTGGTGGGAGCTGGTGAGCCAGGCAGCAACCATTTGTTTATGGTAATGGGTGAGTTATTAACTTTGTAATTGAATCCTTGCTGCTACTTCTGCTTATGTTGAAAACCAGCCGTGGCACCTCACTGAAATTAGTTCTTACTATTAGGTGTCTTACTCTACTACATTCTGGTTATTTTTAGTCTTCCATAGCAGTTGTGGGAGGAAACAGAGATAAAGCTAGAAAGCAACACTTATGGAATCACATGATGAATAGACAGTCAACTTAGACTAACTATCCTAATCAATAGCTGGGGACCGCAGGATCAATCGCTGGGGACCACAGGACAGTTGTTCTGCTTCTGCAAGCCTTGGTTTCTTTATTTGCCGACACCTTACTTGCTAGGGGTAGGAACTGTTTTGGGTCACCTCTAAAAGTTCTTTTGGGTCTTAAAATCTCTTTGCAATCTGGGTAAAAATTCATAAATGTTGGGGAAAACAACTATTAAACAATGAATTTCCCTAGTTTTTCCCAATCATTTTTCTACTAGGTCCAGTCCCTCTGTTGTAGCAGATGCCCAATACTTGCACTGGCAGGAAATAGGGTGGTGGGTGCATTTCAGTTAATGGGCCCAGTTGGAACATGTTTGGCCGTGGAGACAGCTACACTCATATTACCAAGCCTTGGCTTCCTGTCTGTTTTCTTTGGTCTGGGTAGGCAATGAAAAAGGAGACAGGAAAATACATTTTGGGGCAAATAAAATAAGGAATTTGTCTTATGAAGACAGCTTATAGTTGGGAAATTCTAATGTTCTATTTAACCCTTCTTGATACATTCCTCTTGTCCTGCTTAAGTGGAAAATAGAGTGTTTGTACCACCCATGGAGCAGTGAGGAATTCTCGACCTTGAAGGCTTTTAATAATTCTCCTTCAAGCTTTTTTTTTTCTTTTATGGATGATAATCCTAATTCCCCTTAGTTTTTCTTCAGTGGACAAATTCAGAATCCAGTCATCATCATAGTGGCTCTTGGAATCAGCTTCAGTCACTTAATGGTTTTACTTAGCTATTGGGACAATGTACTAGGGCCTCACTGGTACAGAATCTGAGGGCAGGGAGTTACACTGTATTTCTGTTCATGTATCAAGCATTGCACTAACTCATGACAGTGCCATTCTCCAGAGTTCCAGATAACTATGTCACATGCAGTGTCTGATACTCTTCTGTTATATTGCGTGAAGACACTATACTCATCTGATAAGGATGATTTGATGACTTTTAAGAAGTCTTATTACCTTGGGTATATTTCAGTTTACTTATTTATTTACTATCCAGGATTTCCTTAGGTTTTAGATTCAAATAAACTAGAAGAGGGATAGGAAGTTGTTTTTTTTTTTTTAAACAGACTCAAATTTACATGCTTAGCTGACGAAAATTTTTCAGTTTCTTTTACAAAACCACAGCAGTAAATTTAAGGTAAAAAAGCATTCTCTCAGACTTAACAGAGCTTGTTATGCATTTTTGGGCTTTGACATATCATGAAATATCCAGATTCCTCTAGAAAATTTGCGTTTCCTTGACCATATTCTGTTTTTTTTTCTTAACTTCTTAAAGTTCTAGGTTTGAGTTTTATTTGTTCGTTTAGAAAGTTAGAAAAAGATTTCAGTAAGGGACAGTTTTAACATAAAACAGAAAAAGTTACTGTGATCATGGTGGAAATTTCCCTTTGGCAAATGTTTGTCTCTGTTTCTGCCCCAGCTCTCTGGCTGTGTGTCTAACATGCGTGAACTCTCTGAGCTTTCAGAGGCAGCCTCCTCTGTCATGAAACAAGCAAACATTGCCCAGTTCACATCTACCTTTCCCATCCTTTCACTGAGAGGCCTGGAGGAGGCACCTGGACTTCCTCGTGAGCTCTACCAAGGCACAGAGACTCTGGGACCCTTAGAACAGAAGTAGGAATGCTTGCCACCAGATAATGATTATCAAGCAATTAGAAATGGAAGGCATTTATAGACACATCATTATAAATACCAGTATTGATGATTCCTTGCCTTAAACCTCCAGTTTGTATGTTCACATATCTATTTAGTATGGTCAATTGTTCAGCTAATTAATATGCTTTTATTTTATGATTTGCTGTTTCCAGGGCACAGACAGAAGCTTGATGACTCTAAACCTAGTTTGTTCTCTGACCGCCTCAGTGATTTAGGGCGCATTCCTCATCCCAGTATGAGAGTAGGTGTCCCGCCTCAGAACCCACGGCCCTCCCTGAACTCTGCACCAAGTCCTTTTAATCCACAAGGACAGAGTCAGATTACAGGTAAGACAGACTCCTAGGTTTCACTTGCGCAGACTGGCAGGCTGGGGGTGAGGGGCTACCAGATGAGATGTGTTCACTGCGAAACTCCTGGAGCTGGGAAATGGCTTATTAAATAATTGACTTGAGGATACTAACTTCTTTTTTATATAAAAATTTGAATATTCAATAACTTTGGGGTAAAATTTTTGGGGAAACTTATACCATTGTTGCACTCTGCAGCAATGTCAGTCTACACACTGATGGAATGGTAATGACTGCTTTTTGGGGGAGAATGTTTGTTTAAGTTTCTGTATTATATCCGGATGGTGCAGGGGATAACATCACATCCTCACTATTAGAAAACTAGCATTACTGTCTCACATTTGGGCTTAAATTCCTTATCTGTATAACTGTTTCATTAAGTTTGCTTGAAAATTTCTCAGAGCTACCGAGAAGCCTTCACTGGTTGCTATAAAGCCTGGTCAGTAAGGAACTCATTAGGCAGACAGAATTCACTTCTGATTCACATTTAGCTCTGACACCTCACGTGACATTTCTCTGTATATATTCTAGTGAGCTCCTTACTTTACCTTTCTTCTTAAAGATGATGTGAATATCCCCAACTCTTTTTTTTTCCTGTCTCATTTGTGCAGAAGCAGACCTTATTTTAGGACTAGTTTGGCTGCTTTTTTGAACATGGTGATAGAAGAGAGTGTCAGTCATCATAGAGCTTTAATTTTCAGATCAAAAAGTACTGAGAGCTGAAGGGAACTCGGTGCCATCTAGTTGTTATTGTTGGTGGAGGTGGACTAGAACAGAAGGAAAATAAGTCAAAACAAAACATAGAAAAGCCCTCAACATGAATCGTTTTTAATGTTTAGATTTTCACCTATAATGGTTAATCTTGAATGTTCTTAATGGTCTCAAAGTGTAATTGTTTATAATCTAATTGACCCACTTCTTCTCTGCTGCCCGTGTTATATAAAAGCATTCTTGTATATTTAACTCAGATTTTAGTTTACATATATATGTATATTTTTGAATATATAGTTTTGCATAAGTATATATTAAAAATAATATAGTTATAAAAATAAAAATATCCAAACACTGAAGAGAATCAAATATCTACATCAAGGAAAAAGATTAGAGATCTGTAAAGAAGTCCATGTTTTAGCCAATATAAAACATTTATATGCATATAAGCATTTATATGTTCACTAGACATTTATAATTGATAAAAATGCAAGGGTGAAATTCACTTTAACTTGTGACTTATATGTTTGTAGCTATAGGTGCTACTACATTTAAGGTAGTGGACTTTAGATTATTGATTAAGGCTTATCTTTGTTTTATCTTGTCTGTTTGTATTTATAGTAATCCTTAAACTCTTTATATGTGTGTGTGTGTGTGAATAGAGGTTCTATGACTTGGCAACCACTGGTTTATTTAAATGTTTGATTTCTGTGTTTTAATTTTTAATTACTTGTTAATCATGTTATATTAATGACTTATTGTTTTAAGCAATGTCAGAAGAGCAGCTGAGCAGATCAGGAGTGTGGCTATCCCTACAGACAGGGATCCTCTTCCTTTGTCAGCTACTCCTCATTCTCTTCCCTGTGGGAGGCTCAGGAAGCTGAAATTTCTCATCTATAGTTGCACGGCAAATTAGTGGCAGAGAAGTGTACATATACATTGGATATATTTCTTAAAGTGAAAGTATAAAACAAACATTTCTAGGTACTGATAGCCTCTTGGAATTTTTATGAGAGTATTAGCTCTTAATTTGGGGGAGTATTAATATTAGTAGAATTGATCTATAGATCAATCTTCTCTTTAAAAAATTTTTTTTTAGAGAGATAGCGAACAAGAGTGAGAGCAAGAGAGTGTGTGTGAGAGAGAGAAAGAGGAGAGCAGTCATCCACTGGTTCACTCCCAAAAGCCTGCAATGGTCTGGGCCCAGGTCCAGAGCCAGGAATCAAGAACTCAGTCCAGGTCTCCCATGTGGGTGTCAGCGACTGAAGTACTTGAGCCACCACCTGTTGCTTCCCAAGGTCTGTGTTACCTGGGAGCTGGAGCTGGGAATTGAACTTGGGTACTCCAATACGGGATGCAAGTTTTTAACCGCCTACCCCTCTCCTCCCCACATCTGTAGGACTACAAGGTGTTGGGTCTAAAATCTCATATCAAATTTTCCAAATTTGCTGATGTACACATACATACTTGCCATCTCTACTTAGTCTTGGCCTTGTTAACTTTATTATTTTATTTTTTTTTTTACAGTTTTTAGCTTTTTTTTTTTTTTTTTTTTTTTTACAGGCAGAGTGGACAGTGAGAGAGAGAGAGATAGAGAGAAAGGTCTTCCTTTGCCGTTGGTTCACCCTCCAATGGCTGCCGCGGCCGGCACGGGCCACACGCTGCGGCCGGCGCACCGCGCTGATCCGATGGCAGGAGCCAGGTACTTCCTCCTGGTCTCCCATGGGATGCAGGGCCCAAGCACTTGGACCATCTTCCACTGCACTCCCTGGCCACAGCAGAGAGCTGGCCTGGAAGAGGGGCAACCGGGACAGAATCCGGCGCCCCGACCGGGACTAGAACCCGGTGTGCTGGCGCCGCAAGGTGGAGGATTAGCCTAGTGAGCTGCGGCGCTGGCTAGTTTTTAGCATTTATTCAGTGAGAGAAATATGCAGGAAAGTGAGGGCTTTATTTAGGGGAGAAAGAAGTCTAGAAACTAAGTTAGGTCCATACCAGGCAGAGAGCAGGCTGGGAGCCATGTGAAGCAAGCATGCAGGCAGGAAATCAGAGAGCAAGGTGGCCAGAAGACCATGTACCTGGAGGCACGGGACAACAAGGGCAGGCCCACCATGCTCCAGGCCTTTTATTTACTGCCAAAGGGGAGTGGTTATGTTGTCTGATTGGCAGGTGGGGTCAGGTAGGGGCGTGAGATCACACAGGTGGTGTGGTCTTCCAGCTCACAAATCTAATTGATTTAATCCTATCTGCTTGCCTGTATCATTCCCCCCATCAGAGATTCCAGACCTTGATCTTAGGGATGCTGAAGGGTGTAGAATCATCATATCTTCTGTAGCGGCTTCCTGCTTATGAGGGGTATAGCACAGACCCTGCCTGTCCTGGGTCTGGAAGTCTCTTGCTATCTCATCTAATGAGTTTGCTTTATGAGCTGGAGAATTTTTGGTCACCACCAATGGCAGTGTCCCCTGCATGGTCAGTTATTCTCAGAAGTTGTTGAGTTCTGAAACATGTAAGTTTGTCATTCAGCATAAGCAAAACTAGAACAAAACCAATTGCAGTGGAGTGCCCCTTAATATGGAAAGAGCATATCTTACAGACTCCCAGATAATGGTTGGTGATAGGCTACCCTTATGCAGATTATAAAACCATTTAGCCTGAGCATAGAGAATTATAATAGAAGAACTCATTAGGTAGTTTTCTTGTCAATAACAGCTCCCAGAGAAAATCAAAAGAAGAGGCAGATGCATCATGTTTGTCTTAAGGTGCAGAAGTCTTGATGTGGCAAAAGCAAAAGCTTTACTTATCTTTTTCCTTTTGAAGAGGTATTTAAGGTCTCGATTGGCTTACAGGAATAATGAGGCATGTAACTTTCTTTAAATGGCCTCATATTGTTAGTGAGATAACACAAGTGGCTGCCCATAACCAAGGATGTACAGAGTTCTACTGTGACCCAAATGATTAGGAAAAACCCTAAACACGCAGAGCAGCAATAATATCAAAGTGAGTTGAATAGATTTACTTTTTAAATCTCTAGAGTAATTTTCTTGTTTACTTAGTAAGTATAATTTCAGGTCTATCACAAATAGCTTTTAGGGCCCAGGTAATATGTGGGAGAAGTATTGTCCTTGGTTTAGAATCTCACTGAAGAGTTAGTTACCCTTCCCAAACCTCCTGCTCCACATTCTGTGACCCAGGCTATAATATTGTTGACCCTCGAGTACATATTTTTCCCTCTGTTCTTTTTTACTGAGACTGCTACATCTCTACGAGTCTCTATTAATAAGATACCATGCGTCCTTCAAGGTTGCTATGTTGTCTTCTTTGGGAAAGAGTCCTGGAACCTTTATCTAAAGGCTGTCTTTCCATCCTTTCAGCTTCAGTTGAGATTGTCTTATTTTATTGCTTATATGAAATTAGAAATCATAAATTGAAGAAGGAAGTCATAAGCATTTAGTGTTTTATAATTATTAGCCTTCTCCAATGTCTCTTGCAATTCCCAAGGTGAAGGTTCTAATCATAAGGTAGGCCTGCATCTTTGTAGTGCTGGTCTGATAACTGTGGAAGTCTTTCAGGCTGATTTCCACCCGTAGGGTCCAGGGCCTCCCCACAGCTTCCTAAGGAAATGGATTCCTCTGCACTGCTTTATTGCTCTGATATCTGCTACCTGCCTCTGGACACCAGGAAGCACCTAGTCTATCACAAACATCCACTGCTTTTGACTCAGAGTATGATGATAGTAGAGTAAGGATACTATATTAGTGCATCTCTCAAGATAATCAGTGTTTTAATTCAGTAGCCTCTGTGTTGGTCAGCTACATCTAAAAATAATTATACTGATTCAGGGCCTTGGGTTTTGTGGATTGGACCATTAATCTCACCTTTAGGGCAGGGCATGCACTGCTGTTCTGTCGTTCATTTATTCAAAAAATATTTATTGATTGCCTGCTATCTGCCAGGCATTAATTCAAGTGAGCAAGACAGACATAATTTCTACTCACAAGGAGCTTGTATTTTAGTGTAAATAAGCATGCATAGAAAATAGTTTCAAATAATAGCAAGTGCTGTTAGAAAATAAAATGAGGTAATTGGTAGAGAGCAGCTTAGGGGTGGAAGAAGCTAATTTTGATTGGAAGGTTGGGAAAAGATTCTTTGAAAAGATTTGAAGGTCTATGAGGAACGGCGCTTCAGGTGGTGGAAAACTCAGGTAAAGGGAATGGCAGGAAGCCAGCAGGGGCTAGATTATAGAGAGTATGGAAGGCCATAGGCACTTG